GCAGCTCTGACCAGGCGTCCATCAGGGCTGCCGCTGGCCTCCGGGCGTCTCTGCCTCTCTGCGCCTCGGGGGTGGGCCTGGCCGTTTGAGGGTCATCCTCTCCCAGGGACCCGGGACCTCTGACCTGTCCCCACGCTCAGGGAAACCTCTTCCTCTCCACTCAAACCGCCCCCAAAGCACAATCCTTTGTCCTTCTGCTACTTCCACCGAGGACACGTCGCACAACGCTTCAGTGAATTCAGGCTTTAAAAAAAAAATAGGGACAGGGTGACCTGGGTTTTTCTTCTGTCCCATACGATCACGAGGCAGGTAAAACTGGAGACCTGTCTAAAGCTCCGTTGGTTTTACTTTTGCAGAAGTATTTTAAAGTAAACTAAAGACACTGATACACCTCATCCCTGAACACATTGTCATATACATTTTAAGAAAAAATAGAGCCATTGTCTCACGTAATCACAAAACTATTGCCACACATAAAATGAACAGTTTCTAACATTGTCTGACAAACGCCTCGATTCAGAGGGAAAACCCCGAGACTCGGTGGGCAAGTCACTCGCTTGGTGTCGCTCCTCCTGAGCAGCAGAGCCAGGATCTGAGCCCATCTGGTCCCGAGGTGGCCCCCCCGGCCCCCACTTTTGTGCCCTGTCCTTGCCCGCGTCCACTGATCCAGCTCCCACAGGCACGTGGAGGGGCGGCTGGGCAGGTTATTGCCATCACGTTTTTCACGGATCGGGAAACAGAGACCCGGTGGGGCGTCCTGCCCATGGCGGCCCTGGCAGGACTGGCTGCGAAGGGGCTCTCAGGACCGCAGAGGGCAGTTACCAGGCAGCGCTGGTGCAGAAGCCTGGCCTCTTGCCCTGGGGCCCCTGGGGGGCTCCATCCTGCCCCTTCGCCACAGCCTCCCCTGCCCTTCCTTCCCCTCCCGATCTTCGGCCTCTCTTTCCTCACCTTTCATTCTAGGGCCTCATTCATCCCCTCACTTCCTCCAAGGGACAGTTCACAAAGTGACTGAGCAGTGACCCCTGCCGGGCCCTCTGGCCTCCTGGCCCTCCTCCCTCCTCCTCTCAGCCACAAAGGCGGCAGGAGCTGTGTCGCCTGGGCTGCTGAGCCCCTGGCCCATTTCCTCTCCAGCCCTGGGCTTATCTCCTGCTGGAGTTCCCGAGGGCCCATGGTTGGCCTCCAAAAAGGCACACGTGGACACACGTGGAAAAGCCATCTATTTCCAGGAGCATCTGCTCCCTCTGCTTCCTCCCTATCCTTTTGCACTCTGCTCCTCCCTAAGCCTCAGGTTTCAGGACTCCACCTGGTCACAGCAGGCTAGGTCACAGCTGTATTAAGCCCCACAGCCCAATCAGAGGCCCTGTGGCTTGGCTCAGAGCGGCAGGGATGTGAGTGCAAGGCAGGAGGGGGCCAGGGACCAGTCCTCTGGCCCCAAATCTGATACAGTCAGATGCACTGCTGCCCGAAGCCAAGCTGAAGGTTCTCAGAAACCTGGGCGCTTGTTGCGGCCACACCAACACCTGGTCAAAAGACTGGGGCCACCGTGGGGCCACCCTTCCCGTCAGAACAGTGAGGTCTGCCCAGCCTCCTCAGGGGCCAAGTGAAGGCCCCAGAAATTCGCAGAGAGGACACAGCCAGTGGCCAGGAAATACATGTTAACTAGCTGGATAAACAAAACCCTAACACAGCACATGAGTGAGGAAGTTGTGAGCCCCCCTGTCAGAGAGAAGGGGCCTGGTAGTTTCATAGGCTCCTGGCCGGCCTGGAGTGGACACAGCCTCAGGTGCCGGGGACCAGCTGGAGAGTGCCCGAAGGCGGGGAGCAACGCGGGAGTCAAGCCGTCGGTGCAGAGTGCAGAGACTCGGAGCCTGTCCGTGAGCTGCGGAGAGCTGTGCTGTCTCCCGGACGGTCGAAAACACCAGCACACCAGCACATGGCTGTCAGCACACGGCCCATCACGATTATTCCGGTGGAGCCAAGAAGGGCTGTTCGAAATATGGGGTGACGTTTTTAGTAAAGACTTGGATGACTGGTTTTAGAGAGAGAGGAAGGAAGGGAGAGAGAGAGGGAAAGAAACGCCAAGGTGAGAGAGAAACATGGAGCGGCCAGTCAGGGACAGAACCCACAGCCCAGGCACGTGTCCTGCCTGGGAATCGGACTGGCGGCCTTGCACTTCACGGGACGATACCCAGCCAGCTGAGCCACAGCGGTCAGGGCTGGGATGACTTCCACTTGGAGGAGAGAGACGAAGAGTTTTGTAAAGCTTCAGCAGAACTCAACTGCAAGGGTAGGAGTGTTAGGGAAGCCGGTTCCAGTTCAACCCAACAGAAAGAGATCAGAAAGAGACCGTGCACCGCGTGCTAGGTGCCTGCAAGGTGCTTGACGTGTGTGGCCGCCCCGCCTCTCCAGCAGCCTGGCTGGTGGCTGCTTTGCCCAGGTTCACCGATGTTGGTTGGAGAAAAGGCTGACGGGCCCTCTTTCCAAAGGCCGCAGAGGGGCCTCCTGAGCCACAGGGGAGATTCTGCAGACCCACTGAGATTCCTTAGCCTGGTTCTCCAAAATCTCACCTCACACCACTCAAGACACTGGTTCCTCAAGTCCATCCTTATAACCTCCTCTTTTCTGAGTTCAGCTGAGAGACCACTCACCTCTGCGCTGGTTAATTTATGTGTCAACTTCACCAGGTCATGGTGCCGAATATTGGGCCAAACAGGGTTTTGGGTGTGTCTTGGAAGGTGTTTCTGGGTGAGATTAACATTTGACTCTGTGGACTGAGTAAAGCAGAGGGCCCCTACCCGCTGGGGGTGGGCCTCATCCAATCAGTGGGAGGCCCAGATAGAACCCAAAGGTCGACCTTCCCCCCAGGGAGAGGGAACTCCTCACGCCTGGCTGCTTTGAGCTAAAAGGAGGTGTCCCCCGCCTCCCGCTTCCCCCCCTGCTCTGGGCCAGAACTGAAATGCCAGCTCTCCCCAGTCTCAGGCTTGCCAGCTTTCACCCGGGAACTTCCCCCATTGCCCTCTTGGGGCGCCAGCGAGCTGACTGTAGCCCTTGGAAGTGCTGCTGCCACAGTCAGGTGAGCCGTTCCTCTGTTTTTAATCCTCACCCACGGGTGCGTTTGGTGATCTTAGAGAAGGAGGAAGGGATTGAGAGAGAGAGACATCAGTGTGAGAGAGAAAGGTCGATCGGTTGCTTCTTGTGTGTGCCCGGACCAGGGATTGAACTGGCAACATTTTGGTGTGTGGGACGATGCTCCAACGGAACAAGCCACCCAGCCAGGGTGATGGTTTCTTATAATATGTCTCTTTTTATGTGTGCACACATCCCATCAATTTTGTCTATGCGGAGAATCCTTTGGAATACACCTCCCCTCCTTCCCAACTCTTCTTCCCGAGGTCTCCCTTGCTAAGGAGACAGACAGAGTGGGCTGAGAAGCACCTCCCATCAGCTGTCGCCCTGGGGTCCCGGGGAAGAAGGGGCCCAACTGCGCGGGCAGAACAGATGAGGGGCAGGACCAGCACCAACGCTCACTGCAAGCTGGAGACCCTACTCCACTCAGCAGGTAGGGCTGCTGCCCACGCTGCGGTAGACGGCAGGGTCAAGTCCTCATTCTTTGCTCCCAAAGGAGCATCCAATGGAGTCCTGAAGATATTCCCAGTTTAGGGCAGGGGCAAAATGCGTGGGCCCTCTGGCCTGGAGAGTAGGGTCAGTCAAACATGTGTCAGCCCCGCTTCGTGAAAGCCTGACTCCCAGGGACCCTCTGCCATTCTGCTTGAAGCCAAGCAGGGCCTCCAGACCCTAGGGAGGGCATGAAGGGACCTTGGTCACAGATCGAGGGGAGTGAGGCAGGTCTCTGTCCATGGTCTCAGGGCAAGTACGAGGCTGACAGGCCACAGTGAGCACCTCTGGACGAGGTGGGTTGGGGAGGGCCTGCCTGGTGCTCAGCTCTGAAATTTCCTGTCCCTGCTCAGCCCTTATGAACTTGACACCAGACATCAGATCCCCAGGGTTGCTGGGGTCGAGGTTTCTCACCCTCTCAACCTGTCACCAGGGGATGGAAAACTCTGACCTCATCTCAGGCTGACATGGGAAGACAGCCATAGGGCCGCAGGACATGGAGGGAGAGGGAGGGAGAGGGAGGGGGGGGTGGGAGAGCAGGTGCCCTGGGATTTAGACCGCCCTGGTCAGGAGGGTTCCAGCTCCAGAGCCCAGAACTTCGCAGGTCAGATCCAGATAGGAGCGGGCTTGATGGTGCACCGGCTACATGTGGGTGCGGTTCACATGTGTGTGTGTATTTTATCATGCACATATAAAAGTATATTAAAAAGAAAGGTACAGCTTGATGAACTGAAGTGTAATTTCTACTCACGTCAGGAAACAGGATGTTATTGCGCCTAAGAGCCCCCACACGCTAGTGCAAGTGTTTTCATCTCATGTTCGCAACAGGCTTCTCCAGAAAGAGGAGGCTCAGAAACGCCCCCAAGTGTCACAGTTCCTCGTTCAAACCCACACTGGGGCTTTCTAATTCCAGAGCCACAGCTGCAGCTGCTTGTCTGAACGAACCGGGAAGACACAGCGGGCACCAGCCCTTCGCAGGCCTGTCTGAGCCTCGGGGACCTTGTGGCCTGTGGGCTGCCCGCTGGGGTCCAGCATGGGGCGGGCAGTTGGACTCTGTGAGATGGGGGCCTTTTTCAACTGTCTCAGTAACACATCGTGAGATAAAAATGCAGGGAGCTGGGGGCCTCCCCCAGGTGCGCCCCAGCCAGGTCCTGCCCTCCTCGACTCTGCATTATGGATGGAGTGAATCATCTGGTAAATAATTCACCTTTAATCAGGGCAGTGAGGGTAACAGGAGAGCAGGGTCGAAGGTGTTGGAAGGGCTGAGGTGGGCAACCTGAGCTGGAACCCCGTCCTTCTACGGCTGAGCTTTGCTCTGGGGAGATCGAGCTGGAGAGCCAGGCAGGCTCCATCTCGGACTCTCGGCCACCCAGGGGGATGGGGCCATGGTGAGCCCACGGGCCCTGTGTAGCCCACCCAGCCTGCTGCTGCTGCCACCCTCCTGCCTTCTGTATTTGGGGGCCTCAGGTGAGTGATACTCAACCCCTACCCACCCCATGTAGCCCTTTCCCACTCACATTCCATTATCTCTTCCCTGTCTTCCTCGAGATCCTTTGGCACACGCATAGCCATTCAGTGAAGGCCATGAACTTCGATGATCTGCTAGGAGTTAGCCAGCACGCACCGAGCAACCGTGACTTGTCAGGGTGGGGAGGCAGGGCCCGCACACAGCCCCCCACATTGCCTTAAACCTGGGGGTTATCCCGAGCATGGACGTGACATGGTCAGATCTGGTTCCGTAAAGTTCCCTCCATGCCAGGTGGTCTTCACGCATCAGCAGCTGTTGGCTTTGGAAGGAATCAGTTTCTGGGTTCTTGTCCTTCTCAATTCATCGGACATCCGAATTTTGCCTTTGGTCCCTCCTTCCGCTCATCCTTTCTTCTCTGTCTTATCAAACCCTGCCCTGAAGCCCCAACTGCACAACAGGACCAGAGGCTCTGGGAAAGGGGGGAGCAGGAGAACCCAGGGCAGCTCAGATGCCCTGCGTTGTCTCTGTCCCAGGGCAGCCTGATGAGGAGGTGGTGTCCATCCAGGGAGTGAGGGGTGGCTCTGTGGAGCTGACCTGTGGCTTCCCAACTGCCCCCCTGGCGGTCTTCTGGAGCTTCACCCCCCTGGGATCACTGATCCCCGGCCTGTGGCTGTCACCAATGGAGCAGAGGTTAAGGTGGAGGCCGGGGCCTTGGTTCTGGGGACCGTGAGCCTGCGAAACAGCAACCTGGTGCTGGGGGGGCTGCGGGAGGATGCCCGAGGCCACTTCCTGTGCCAGGCCTTGCAGGCGGCGGGTGGCGGACTGCACACTGCCTGCTCCCACTTCAGTCTGGCCGTGCTCGGTGAGCCGTCCAGCTCGGGACCCTGGCTTGAGCTGCCGTGCCTGCTGCTTTGCATCCCTTGCATGTGCTTCCAGCTGTTTTCTGCAGGGCTGGGGTTCTGCAAGGCCTGTCCCCCAGGGGAGGGGGAGGCCTGGGGTGTTCAGGAACCCAGTGGGCAGGTCAGCCCCCAGCTGGCAGGGGCCATGCCAGTGGATGCAGCGGGGCCCTGCCTGAGCCTGCAATAACCAACACAGCCTCTTCCTTCTCTGGCCAGTGCCCGTATCGAAGCCTCAGGTAAGGCTGAGTGAGCCGTCCCCCGTGGAGGGGGCATCCGTGGTGGCCATGTGCGCAGTGCGGGAGGGCACGGAGCCCGTGATCTTTGCCTGGAAGCATCAGGCGCCCCGAAGCCCCGGGGAGGCCCTGCTGGGGGTCACGGAGCCGCTGCTACAGCTGGACCCAGTCAATCGGACACACTTGGGCTGGTACATGTGCAGTGCCCGCAACGCAGTCAACCAGCTGAGCAGTGACGAAACCTTCTTGGATGTCATCTGTGAGTCAGATTGGGGGTGAGGGGAGGTCGCCAGGGCCGCACTTGGCCCCCTGGCACACCTAAGACCCCCCAGGAGGGCCCCAGCCTGGGGCCCTGCACCCACCAGGCCAGATGCAGCTCCAGTACAAGGGGGTTTAACCTGGTCAAAATCTCGGGCCCCTCTTCCCAGGAAAATGTGCATAGATTCCTGTCACAATTTACCCACAGGTCTTGGGGTTAGTCCTGGAGGACTCCCAGGGACCACCTGCACCCTGGGAAACTGGAAGCAGGCCTGTGGGAAGAGAGGGCTGCAAGCTGGTCCCAAGAGGGACTTCCGAGAGCAACAAAGGGTTATTTTCCGAACGTGTGAAGAACCCCCAGACGGCCAGTGAGGAGGAAGCAGGAGCCACGCAGAAGTGGACAAAAGGCCAGAGCAGCCATTTCAGTAGAAAGAGAGCAGAGGATGCTGGTGAACTTCCGGACGAGATGAGAAGCTGGGTGAAGGGTGAAGGCCAGCGTGGCCCAGGGCAGCCCCGGGTGGGACGGCAGCCCCTCTCGGGGTTTCGAGTACTCGCGATGGCGCTGAGCCCAGTGGAGACGTGCTTAGAGTGACAGTCACACTGGACTTGGAGGGAGTAGTCTAAAGAAAGAATACAAAATAGCTCACCAGTAATTTTTTATATTGCTTGTAAACCGAAATGATCATATATTGAATATATTTGGTTAAGTAAAAAAATTTAAAGTTATTAAGACCCATTGATGGGTTTTGCTTGGTTGAGCAGGGTATTTTCTCTTTGGGGGATCTGGCTACTGGGCTTTTCAACCTGTATTTGTGGAGCAGGGGGACCAGAGGAGTCAGGGAGCAGGGGCTGACAGTGTCCTGTGGGCCTTGGAGGTGGCTGGTGGTCACTGTAAATCCAGGAAGGTGGAGGAGACGGATGAGCAGTTCTCGGAAAAATGTGGGAGCAGAACGGAGGCAGGCAAAACAATTTGGTCCTCTCCAGGAGTCGGGGAGGAAGAGGACACGAGAGTGGGGGGGCGGGGACCCCGAGAAAGTGGACAGGGCTGGCTGCTGGGATTGCACTGGGGGCATCTTCCCACCCTGTTCTCTCCCCTCTCCAGTTGAGAGGGACCAACCGAACCAAGAAAGCCCCGGATGCTAGGCACTGGGAGAGGGCTGGGCACCCTCCTCCCCCTCCTCCTGGCCAACTCAGCCTGGGCCCCTGCCTCAGCCCAGTGCACTGGTCCCCTGGGGAAGCCTCAACGTTCCCCTCTGGACTCCCAACAGCCTGGGGGCTCACCTCGCAGGCCCTGATCTCCTGGACTCTGGTCTCCTTAGGGGCTTCACAGAGTGGCTGGCACAGCTGGTGCCTAATTCATGGCCGCCTAGTGGAGAGTAAATTCAGTGATCATTACATGAGTGAGTAAAGGAACCAGGACCAACCGGGGAGGTGTGACGAGCCTTCTTTGCCCTCCAGATGGTCCAGACGCCCCTGTGATCACCGTGGAGTCTCCAGGCTTCACCGATGAGGGCTTCTGGGCGGGTGAGAGGGAGGAAGTGACTCTGAGCTGCCTGGCTGCGTCCAATCCGCCCAGTGGCTACCTGTGGCTGCGTGAGCACGCCCAGGTCCACGCTGGCTCCACCTACACCATCAGCAGTGCCAGCCGCGCCCACACCGGCCTGTACACCTGCCTGGCCCACAACAGCTGCTTGGACACCCGCACAGAGGCTGCCGTCCGGCTGACCATCTACTGTGAGGGTGTGGGGAGGGGCCTCCCGCAGGAGCCTCTGCATGTCAGAACCACAGATGCCCCGTGGGAACCGGGTGGGAGTTTGGGGGAGGCAGGGCTGGGGGATTAAATGGAGATGCACAGCAGGGGGAGAGGCTGAAAAAAACCAGGGAAGGGGCAAGCAGAGGGACAGCCCCCGATTCTATACAGACAGCCCCCCTTCCAAGTGATCGCCCCCACGGTCCCCAGACTGAGCTGAGGCACAGAGACGGGTAGAGTTTGAGGACAGTGAGGCAAAGTGCCCAGGGCAAGGACGAGAGTGGGGCACGGGACACTTCCCCGCTGGGAGCCTCTGGGGTTGCCCAGTGACTCTGCCCTCCTGCCCAACCCCCCAAACACTGCCCCTGACCTGAGAACTAACTCGGCCTTCTGCTCACCAGCCCCCCTCAGAGGCATCAGTCTCTCCCTGTTCCCCCACCTCTCCCGATGCCCCCATGCTGGCCCCTCTGGGTCATTGGCCTTGCGGCCTGGGCCAGCCCCATCCAAACCCCCTTCTCCCCCAGACCCCCCCGAGGGGCAGCCCTCCTGTACAGCGCTCCCCACCTCTGGGGCTGTGACTTTGGTCTGCGCCTGGCCTGGGGGGCTTCCAACTGCCCAGCTGCAGTGGGAAGGGCCCCATGGGACTGGCCCAACCGCCCTTGGCAACGTCACCTGGAGGCAGGCAGCAGCCCAGCTGCGGAACGGCAGCACCTTCACCTGCACTGGCCAGCACCCGGCCCTGGCACCGCTCGCCCTCTGCAGGATCACGCTCTGTGAGTGGACACAGCAGGACTTGGACGTTCCAGGCCAAGGAGTGGGTAGGGTCAGGGGAGGGAAGGGAGGGGCCCTGGGGAGCTCCAGGCCCCCCACTGTGGGACCTGCCATGTGACGAGGAGTCGGACAGCGCTCTGCTCAGGCCTGCCTCCCAGTGTCCGTCCACCCAGCCCAGGTCTCAGTCTGCATGGTGGCCCGTCCTTTTCAGCTCAGGCTTGGAGCCCGGGGACCCTCCTAACTGTCCCCCAGCCCCCAGGGTCCACAGGCTCTCAGCCCCTGCTGCTCTGCTCCTGCTCTGCTTCTGTCGTTCCGTGCATGCTGGCCTCAGGCTGGGCCCGCACCTTTCTCTCCACCTTGAAAACTCCTCTCTGTCTACAGGACCGAGTTTAAATGTCATCCTGCTTTCAAAGTTCGTCCTTCACTCTGAAGCCCCAGCGGGCTGTCTCTCCACCTGTAGCCCCACACTCATCACATGGTGTTGTAATTGTTAGCTCAGCGTTTGCTCCACTCTTTCTCTGGCTCGTGGCCAGCCTTCCATACGTGATGATTGAGAAAGTGCATGAGTTGACGGAGTAACGTGCAGGAATGTGTGAGTGAGGCAGTAAGTGAAGGACAGAGAGAAGGGGCGAGACTGCTGCGTCCCTCTTCCCCCGTAGGGACATGCTGAGCTGTTTGTTCCCTACTCAGAGGAGCCCCTCCAGAGCCTTGCTTGCTGGACCAGGGCCACAGTGGGGGACCAGTTCATCATGCTGAGCTGTGAGTGGGCTGGAGGCGAGCCCCCGGCCCTGCTGAGCTGGCTGGACGACCAGCAGCAGCCCCTGGGCAGCAGCGGCTCCTCGCGGGCCGTGCACCTCCTGAGGGCCCGGGGAAGATCTGGCCGGCAGAGAGTTCATCTGCCAGGGCTCTCACCCACTCAGGGCCCCCGGCCCCCGCTGCCGGCTCCAGCTGGGTGAGCGGGGGCTAGTGGCCGCGTTGTGGGGCCGGGTTGGGGGAGCGGCCCTTTGGAACGGGGATGAGGGGCTCCGGGGAAGCCTGGAATGCACAGTGAGTCAGGAGACTGAGTCACCCCACCTCCCAGGGCCTCGACTGTTTCTGATCCATAAAATCAGGAGGTTTAGTCTAGGTCTGTGTTGTCCAATGAAAATAATGAAAATATAATGTAAGCCATGTGTTTAATTTTAAGTTTTCTTGTAGACACATTTTAAAAAGCAAGAAGAAATAAGCAAAACACTTTCTTCAACTCAATATATCCAGTCTACGATCATTTCAATGTGTAATAGAAAATTAGTAATGAGATACATCACATTGTTTTTTTCTTTCCCTGTTGCCTTCAAAATGTGGTGTATTCACAAGGCACAGCCCATCTCCAGGCTCACAGGCCACATTTCAAGTGCTTTGTAGTCACAAGTGGCTGGGCAGGGCCCATCTAGCCAAAGAGGGGCTCTGACCACGGTCCCCTTTGCATCAATTTGCATGAGAAGGGCCTGATTATCTTCTTGACTTGAATTCATGCTTCAGGTGTCAGGGCCTTTACCTCTCTCACCCCCTCCAGTCGTCTTTGGTCAGGTTTCTTCCAGCCGGTCCCATCTATTGTTGACTCAAGGAAAAGAATTAAACGTGGAGGGGAAAAGGTGGGATGACCTAGAGAGAGGCCCTTGTGTGGACCGCTTCTCCAGCCTCGGTGACCAGCCTGCGTCCAGGGGCTCTGAGAAACTGCTCCACCCAAAATGTTTTCCTCCCTTCTTAGTCTCAGGGCTGGACGCTCCCTCAGAGGTTCTCTGATGCCTGCGAGGGGGTCTGCAGGAGTCAGCTCATAAACACCGGGCCCCCGCTGCGGGCCCGGCCCTGTGCCAGGGCGGGAGGTGGTGGCCGCTGGGGGCAAGGAGGTGCTGTGCCAGGGGCTGAGGGGGAGGCGGTTCATGCCGAGGTGAATGCGGCAGGGCCCGCTGCCGGAGCTGAGCAGGGCTTATGGGGAAGAACACGGCTGTTAGCACTGTGCTTGGGGCGGGCAGACTGGGCCAGGAACAGGGCAGAGAATGGAAGCCTGAGTGAGGGCAGACTGGCCTGAGACAAGCTTCGCTGCCGACTCCGCAGCCCGGGGGTCCTCTCCCCCCTCCCCACTCACCCCCAGGTCTTCCCACTAGCCCCGATGCAGGGGCATCTCTCAGCCTCCTTCTCTCTGTCCCCCCAGAAGCCCCCCAGCTGGCAGTAGCTAAGCCCCAGGTGTCAGTCCTGGAGGGGGAAGAGGCCTGGCTGAGATGTACCCTCCAGGGGGGCACACCGCCTGCCCGCCTCCTCTGGCTGGGGCCGCAGGGACAGCCACTGGAACAGGGCACCTCTGGATTCATGCTGCACCGGGAGGACGCCCAGCTCCGCCTTAGCATCCGAGGCACCAACCCAGCGCGGCACAGGGGCACCTACCAGTGTGTGGCCCGCAACGCCCTGGGCAGCTGCAGCCGCAGCTGCAGCACCCTGTTGGAGGTCCTGAGTGAGTGGGGGCGGTGTGTGTCTGTGTGGCGGCGGGGACAGGGACCCTCCAGCCCACAGGGCCCTGCAGGTGGAAAGCGCTGGGGTCCCTACTGCAGGATTTGGACCCATGGCCCCCCTCGGGCACAGGAGGCTGGCTGGGCTGGGCGGGGTGAAGCTCACACACTCTGGAGCACAGACAGACGAGCTCTGTCTCCTTGTGCTCAGTGTGGAGATGAGGAAACCGAGGCCTAGGAATGGAAGTCCAGGGCCACACAGACCCAAACCACGCAGAATCGATCCAGTCTGCGCATTCTGGCTTAGGGCCTCTCCCAGCTCTCAACGAAGCTGAACAAATGCGGGCACCAAGCACCCCCGCACCCGTGCCTGGCTGCGGGTGTGCGTGTGGCAGCGTGACATGTCCTCATGCGCGATGCCTGCCGGGGCTCCCCCGGTCCCTGGTCCCAGCGCGGAGCCTGTGGGGAAGAGGGGTTGCCCGCTGCGATTCTGGCTGGTTGCTCAAGGAATGTGCCTTTTCCTTTCCTTTCTGCAGGCCTGGGCCAGTTGCTTGTTCCCATGTGAGTGCGGAATCCGGCAGGTGGGGGGCCAGGACTCTCCTCTCACTGGGAAGGAGGGGTGGGGAAGTGCGGATGTCACTAACTTCACTCTCCCCCTTCAACCTGTCTTCAGGGAGCAAAGTCAGCGACACAGGGGCTCAACGGAGGACCCAGAGGCACAGGCAGGCAAGCACCCTTCTGTCCCCAAGGTCACTCCCGTGTAAGGGGAGCAGTCCTGACTTGCACACACGATGCCAGGTCTCTGTCGTCCTCCAAGAACGACCTGGAACACCCTGAAGGCGTTTGTCTCCTCCACTCATGTCTGTTCTTCAGGCACTGACACGCCCTGCACCACGCCCGGTTCGGATCCTGCGCAAGAACCTTCAGACGCTCCGGTCAGTGTCACCATCACGGTGACCGCCACGCCGTGAGGCCCTGAGGACCGTGCTCAGGGACACAGGTTTGGGTGGAAAGAGCCCCCCTGTCACACTTGGTCTTCAAAGCCAGATAGCTGAGGCACGACCTCCCCTTCCCCACTTCATGCCCAGCATTCACCACCCATGCAAGGCCCAGCTGCATGGCGTCCAAGTGGCTTGGTTAAAAGAGGAACCCTGGTCCAGCGGGAGAAAGACAGAGGCGGAAGGCCAAGGAGGACACAGCTGCAGAGCAGCCCAGCCGGCTGTGCGAGCGCCCACGCGGGCACCGGTGCTGGAAGCAGTGCCTGGTGGGCAGCGGGCTGCTTCCGGAGCGATTCCTCAATAAACCACACTCGTGAGCGGTGCCCTCACGAGTCCGGGGTCATTGTAGCGGCAGCTCCCACCGGACAAAGCTAACCCAGGCTCAGGCGGGTCCCAGGTTTTCCTACTGGGAGACCACGGGTAGGAATGTATTACCCTCATTCAGCTTACGAGACGAGGTCCTCTAGTTCTTTCCTTTCCACGTCTCAAATCGCTTCCCTAGGACACAAGCTTCTACCATGGGACCTGTTTATGGGTGAAGGATCATCCCCATGTCGGCAGGGGTCAAAGGGTTGCAGCCGCTAGACCCCAGGAGTCTGCGTGTCCCACCCGGGGCACTGGTGCTGCAGATGTGGCTTCCTGCCTCTGGGCCTGGGGAGCTGGCTGAGAGGGGACCCCGGCTGTTCCAAAGTCACCGTCTGCTGGCTGCCAGCATGACTCACTGGCTCCGAGTGTGTGTGTGCCTGTAACGTGGGGGAGACACAAACGAACGCTTGTTCCACTGGCCAGGAGGGAAGACGCGGCTCCGCGGGGGAGAAAGGGCGCCGAGCAGAGTCCCGCCAGGGACGAGGCAAGTGGCGCCCGAGAGGAGGGAAGAGTGACGGAAGCTGGAGTTGCCGCTTGGGTTCTCGCAGATTCAGACTTTATTAGAAAAGGGGTTTCGGGGTCCCTCGGCGCTCTCAGGGCTTAGGGACACCTTATTTAAACATAGAAAATGAGATATCGCAACACCTCACCCCATGCAAAAGGCCCTGTTGGCTTTCTGGTCAAAGCAGTCCAGACACTTCTTAATTTTTTTTTAGGGCAATAAAACAAAGCTGCTCCTAGAGGGGCTAAATTTTACCCTGCAGATCACAGAGATGTTGCTCCAGGTGATGGCACGACACAGCCCACGTGGCCTTGGCCGGGTGGCTCAGCCTTTCGGAGCGTTGTCCCCTACACCAGAAGGTTGCGGGTTCAAGGCCTGGCCAGGGCTGTGGACAGGAGGCAGCTGATCGGTTTCCCTCTCATTGACGCCTCTCTCTCAAATCAATACACGTGTCCTCGGGTGAGGATTAAACAAAACCCCAGACCAGTGAGGAGAGACCCGCTCCTTCCCCCTTCCTCATCCTCCTCTCCCATTCCCCTCTTCCTTCCAAAGAAGCACTGAGTGCCCCTGAGGGGGGCGTCTGCCTGCTCTGACAGCTCCATGGTGCGGGTGCTTCCCTCCCCCACAAACCCGGTTCTAGGTCCTGTTGCCTCAGGGCCTGGATCTCCGCAGTCGGAACAGTGGGACTGACTCACTGGGCTCGGGAGGGGGTTGCCAGTGGGCGGCGGGTGGAGGCTCCAGTTTCCGAGGGACATCCACGCCCATCCCAGCAACCAGCCACACGCGGCTTTTCTACCGACAGGGGGCGTCTGAGAGCTCGTCCCCGCGGCCGCTCTCCACGACAGCGCCATTCTCTTTTACTATAAAACCGTACCCACCAAATAAAACCTGCCAAGAGTACAGCGTTTAAAATATGTACAATGTCCAACACACTATTACAACTTCAAGGAAAATAAAACATACTTTTCAATATGATACAAAAACATGCATCTCATCAACACTGCTTTGACAGAGAACAACGCAGGTGAAACCCAATCTTGGAGTGAACCTCACAGCAGTGCTGTAGCTGGAACGAGAGTTGGGGCACAGTCCCCTGAATGGGGACGCACCGGTCCTCAGACTCACCCGACAGAAATGAAACCGGGAAGAAATGTTCTAAAAAACCACGTCAAAAGGTTTAAAACACTGCAATTTAACTGACACCCTGCATGCCACCGTATGGTCACCCGTCGCCAGACTACCGGTGCGTAAAGGGAAAAAGGAGATAGTGAAATGATGCAACAGAAACGGGGAAGTTTAATGTAAAAACAAAGAGTCACAGAGAACTCCAAGGCAAAAGGGAACATGAAGAGGCCTGCCCAACTACAGTATCACTAAGCCAAGTGAAGATCAGGTTCGGGTGGGGGTCGGGGTGTAGGCGCTTCAAAGAGAGAGATGGAACTCTGGGAAGACAAAGAGCAGCGAGCAGAGACGCCCACGCGCCCAGGGGCCGCCTCCCTCCGGTGCGGAGTTGGAGCATCAGAGGAGTCTCGCAGCAGGGGCTGGCGGAGCGTGCAGAGCTGGCCTGGCTCCACTCAAAGAGGGAGCCACATGCTTTTGGAGAGCAGCATGGAAAAATGGAAGGAGCTCAGATTTCGGCTCCATGTCTGCTGGGTTCAAATCCAGGCTCTGCAGCTCACTGTGAGACTCGAGGACTTCAACACCTACTCTGTGGGCTTGTTAAATAGCTGTAACAAGCTCTGAGCCTGCTGCCTGGGACACAGCAGTCACCGCGCCCATGTTAGTGCCGTCTCCCCCAGGGCCCCACGGCCCTCGACTCCCCAGTGAAGTGACACCAGGCAGGGCTAGTTCCGGGGACTGTGTAGGGTGTGGAAGTCCAGAACAACTCGTGGTTAGGGGGAACTCATAACTCCTAAACATGAAGGCAACTATATATATATATATTTATATTTATACTTATATATCTCAATATATAAAGGCATTTTTTATAAATAAAATATAATAAAAGGGATAACACTTAAAACAGCGTTACTGACAATATAAATAAAGCAGTCCACAGTGAGACTGCCCCAAAGGTAGAGTCGTTTTCTCTGCCTGGTGGACAGATTCCACGTTCAAACTCATCTTTACAAGCAGTTTAGGACTCAGGCTCACACTGACACACCTGTTTCCTGAATTAGAATGACGGCGACCAGAGTTCACGCCCCGGTTTTCTAGGACTTGCTTCGTGACCACAATCTGGGGCATGCTTCATGTTCTGGGTCCTAAGACTTCGTCCTTTGCTAGTCACAGAAGTCAGGGATGAAGCCACCCCCACTCCAGAGCTAACTGCATCTACGCAGCATGAAGAAATCCCGCACAGCACAGGCACGGACCCCCGGGACGGAGAACTTGACCCTAGGACGCCCCTAATCCCTGCCCGCGAAACCGCACTCTCGCATTCTACCGGAAGGAGTTCTTGCAGAGGGACTCAGCTTCAACAGCACATTCCGCTAACAGTTCTATCTATAAAATATATAAACGTATGTAAGGGAATACTGATGCACTTATATAGAAAGTTGAGTAACATAGTATTCTAGTCTACTTCACTGTCATTTCTGGGAAACTGTAAAATTTTTTCATTTATGCTGAAACTGCTGACTCAGAAGAGAATCATTTTCAGTTTCTTTCCCCAAAGGGACACACCGCCCAAAAAGGAGCAATGATCCATTAAAGCTGGGCTCCAGCTATTCAACACACAGTGTTTTTGTGTTTTGCGGTGTTTTTTTTTTTAGAATCCAAGAAGAAAAGCCTTCCAAAGGCAGCTGCAAATACCCTGTCACTCCGAGGCAGCGTAACTGTGACTGATGGGCTCTGCTAACCAAAGCTTGTGGTGCCTGTTTACAATGACAACCTCCTGCAAAAAAAGTCAGGGAATTTCAAACCGCAGCGTCCTGGCCCTCCAAATGAAGTCTTTTCTACCGTCAGATCCCCACATGGGAAGCTGGGCAAGGGTGGTTTTGCAGGGGCAGGGGCCCCACCAGCACAGGCCTGTGATAACCAGAGCGCTTCTGCCAGGCTGTGCTCCCTGCGAACCCTCCCCTGTCTTCTCCGAATGTAAATCCGTCTCTTCAAGGCATCAGTTTAAAGTCTTATTTCATCCCTACTCTTGGGAAGAGTTAAAAAGGGGCCCAAGGTGACCATTGTATAAACACGTGCAATGTTAAAAGCCATAGGACTTGACGGCATTCTTCTTCCCTCTGGCTTTGGTTCCCTCCCTGGGACCGCACAGCCCGGACCCCACCTCTGGCCCGCACCTCGCTGGTGCCTGGAGAACAGACGGAACCGGGGCCCACGTGGACAGTGAGTTGATTGATCTGCTGCACTTCTGTGGAAGGCACGGATAAAATCCCTAAGAGCCCTGCTGTTAGAAATGTAGGCTACAACTGTTTCAGAACGTCCTCAGAAAGCCAGGAGCACAAGACTGAAAGGCAGCTCTCCATCTGAAAACTCTGAATGGCCCGCACAGCTTGCTCCTGGCTGGACTGGCCACAGGCTGGGCTGTCACTGAGGTTCTTGGAAGACATGGAACGCTCTCGGATGATGGCAACTAGGCAAAACTATGCAAAAACTAGGTTGTTTCCTACTGTTGGGAAGGGAAAGGGAAGAACAATTTTTTTAAGGCATAAATAATATAAAAGGGCACACATTTTCAGATACATTCATATGACATTACTACTACAAAAATAAATAATGACTTTTCTCTGATTTGAATTAACGTCCTTCATGCAGTCCACCCCCAGGCCTGGTCTGTGCAGTGACTGGCTTGAAGTGGGAAGTGACTTGTCCTGTGCTGGGCTTCAGGTGTCCTGCGGCTGTTGCGGGGCCCCTGCAGGGCTGTCCAGAGGAACGCCAGGAGGAGACTGTGCTGTCTTTCCAGCACAGTCCTTTGAATCAGGAGGCAAAATAAGAGGATTCCAACTTAAAACGTTGCTCTCTGTTTCTGAATGGATGTAGCTGTCTCCTGCAAAACACAGAGATTTGGGAACATTACAAAATCATAAAGGCTGATTTTCACAAAGCAGTCGAAACACATTACTTCGAGCAGTAAAGAGGGCCATGAGTAGGAGGAGAGCCCGGTTGTGCTTACTTTGAATTTGAAGGAGACAAAAGGTACGAAAGGTTTAAAAGGAGGTTGAGCTCTCATGAAGTTATACAACTCCTCTGAGGGGTAAGGCAAACCCACGGAAAGCCCCAAAATAACCACCGTGAAGAAACAGGTCCATGACCACGAGATACATTCTTCGAGGAAGTCTATGTACGGTCTAGGTGCAAACTGAATCAGGGCCTATTTGGGTTTATTTTCTGAAGTGTGATGGGATTAACAGCCTGAGATGAAGGAGGTGAAGAATAACAACACTTCAAAATTTACCTAGTCACGTTGGATTGAAGTATCCACCTCCCCACCGCCCCGGTCTCTTGAGAAATGTGTGCGCTGATCACAGGGCAAACGCATCTGCCTCTGCTCCCTTATTTTAGCTAAGTGAAGACTGTCTAGAAACTGGGGTTTCACCTCGTTTCCCAGTACCTCTGTCGGACGCTGCTGCACCTGCTGTGGTGTCGGAGTAAACCCCACGCCTGCTGTCGGGACAGCAGGCGTGGTGAGCAGGTCCTGGCGCCGCTTCATCCTTGCTGCTCTCCTGTGACGGGCCACAGGCGGAGGCTGGTGAAGCCTGACACACAGGTGTCGTCGTGTGACTGAGGGGCTTCATTTCCAAGCCATCCTGGGGACAAGGTGCGGCCAGAGGGACCACGGAAAGTGGGTTGCTGCTGAAAGTGCCGTTCGTTTTGGTGAAACACCTACAAAGTGAAACAGGTTTGTCCAGAGGGATCAATAATTAAAAGACACTCATTTTGAACTATCATTTGCTATTTTGCATCACAGATTTTTTAACAGGGTCAGGTGCTTAAAAATAAACACTCCACTATGATCTGATATATCAAGAACTCCAAAACTACGGTTAAAGTGGAATACAACTGGAAAATACATCAAAAGGCACACCGCCTGAGAATACAACCTTACATGACGCCCTATGCCCTCATATGATGCCTCAGTCCACTGTCAAAAGTTGTCTCCTAGTTCACAGTTAGCTGGCTCCTGAGCACAGCACACAGAAGGAAAAGGCCATTAGCCACTGGAAGAAATGCGGGGAAAAAAGGGAACATGAAGTGAAGACACAGATGTCCACGTTCAGAGAAATGACCTTATAAAAACCAAGGAAAGCAAACTAATTTGAAATCAGATACGCGGTTCCCTCTCATTCTTGGAAGAAACACTACCAGGATTAGATATTTGAAATTTAGGTCTGGTTCGTTTTGCAAATTTTTTATTTCAGGAATGAACTGCTAGTATTAGCACCGAGCGTTCGCTTCAACTCTGCCATATTTTTATTTCTTGTCTTCACCCAAGATACGTGTTTTGTTTTTCTTCCCATTCTTCAGACAGCATAACTTCTACTGATCTTCCAGTTCACTGGCGCTTTCCTCTGCTGTCTCCAATCTGGGGTCACACCCATCCAGTATGTTTTCCATTCCAGTTATTGCAGTTTTCAGCTTTGGAATTTCCATTTGGTCTTCCCACTCCCCCCCCCCTCAGTTTTTATTTCTCAGCTGAAATTCCCCATATGTGAATTCACTGTGTGTTTATCTTCCTTCAAATCCTTGGACACATTTTTAATAGCAGCTTTGAAGTCATGGTCTGCTAATTGTGACATCTGAGTTACCTCTGGGTCTGTTTCTATTGACTTTTTTTCCCCTTAAGGAAGTATCTCATTTTCCTGTTTCTTCAGGTGTAATATTTTTTACTGGATTTTTTGCCTTGAATTTTCTAGTTCCTCTGCTGGCCTTGATCTCCATCTTCTGACACCTTCTGTTTGGGTTTATGACCCGGAACTGAAAAATACTCTCGGAAAAAAGCTGTAAAGGACTGTCATCCATTGTCTTTCAAGGTTAGGCTTATTCAGTTTCTGCCTGCTTCTGGTTACTGTCCAGCACTTTGATATTGTCCTTATTCATCATTATTGCCTGTAGATAATGTTCCACCATTAACAGAAACTGCAATTTCAGAAATATATTTTTTATTTCTAAGATCGGGAGTAAGGAAAAGTTCGGAGAAGTCATTGTATTTGGCTTTGAGTTGGGCATGTGGGGTAGGAAACACACGGAAGTGAGCAGCCGTGTGCCGCACGGAGACAGTGTCACGGAAGACAGCAATTCTTTGGATTCCACCCTTTAAACATGGGAGGATGTGTTTCTGGGGCACATGAGAATCAGTAAAAGGAAGTCAAGGCGACTATTACTAACAGCTCTGTTGGTGCAAGTTACTGCAAATATCAAATGTTAGGCATGAAGAAAGATCTGAACCTGAAACAGAGTGAGGTTCTGTCAGTTAAACAAGTCATTAATTTAAATAAGTCCAACTGCAATCATGTAGAGAAATACACTCACTCCACATTTAGTGGAATTCAGATACCAGTCATCTGGAATGAAAGCATTGTAGGTCAGGCATTCGTTTGTACAGAATAATTTGAGTACATTATTATCTAACAGGACTATATTTTAACATTTAATAATATAGCAAGAATACTTGTATATACTGGATTCAAATAAAACCTAAGTTTTCCATACATGTCTTTTTTAAAACATTTTTAAAACATTTTATTTATCTTTAGAGGGGAAGGGAAGGAGAGAGGGAAAGAAATATCAATGTATGGTTGCCTCTCGTGTGTCCCCGGCTGGGAACTGGCCTGCAACCCAGGCATGTACCCAGACTGGGAATTGAACCATGATCCTTTGGTTTGCAGGCCCATGCTCAATCCACTGAGCTACACCAGCCAGGGCTCCATACATGTCTTAAGCCCATAAAATAAAGGAAGCAGTGGTATGGAAGGAAGTTTGTTGGAGGCAGACCCAGAGCCCTGGGCTAGATGCAGCATGATTCCAGGAGAGTACTGCATTCCATTTGTCTTTTGTCCTACCATTTTACTCAACTCTGAGCTTTAAATTCAGAGATCTGGGGTATTGGCAAGGGTGAGCACCAGTCTACTGACGACCATTTTCGAATGTCCATGTCATCCTTCTGATACTTTACCAACAGTCTCTTCTACTATCGCAATAACCAGAGAACCTCCAACCCCTCTGTATGTACTCCATTCATGGGAATCCACAGACTAAATATGGTACTCATCCAAAATGTGGGCAGAGTCAGGGAGGGAGAAAACCTTTTTGAACTCACACTACTGCTAATGAGAATTTAAAAGATATTATCCACCTACATAAGAGCCACCTTATCTAGAAGAGGTCTTTATTCCAAAAACCTTTGCTAAATACCTTCTAAATGCTAGACACTGATCGTATGGTGGTAAATAGGTCAGAGTTCCAGGTCCCAGCCTAGGAGAGGAGATGGAGAAGTAAAACAACAGCCATAATATAACACAGTACGTATTACATGAGAAGCTATGAAGGGCACTGGGTGCCCTCAGCATGAATTACAGATGTGCGGCTTCCCACATCACCGACTAGAGAGCAGGGCATATTCTTCTATTTCAGACTCAGTTGTCTTAATCTAGGAAGTTACTCTAGCTAGCAATTATGGAATTAGAGAACAAGAAGGATTCTGATTTTTAAAAACCAGAAATCTCTCTCTGGTCAGGGGAATCTATATGGTTACTGTGATTTCCTGGAAGTAAAGCTTAAAAATTAAATTCCTAGCTTCTGTTTGACTGATTAGTTTGTATCAGAATAACTCTCCTACCAAGAACAGCTAAAAAAGGGAAATTTCATTTTAAATCTGTTGAACTCATCAAAGAGCTACCAAAACACTTGAGTGGCTGAGATTCCAGAGAGAAGGGAAATGTAACTCTGAGTTTTGGCACCATTTTCTTTCCTGAGGCATTTGCCCAATTCCGTGCAGGATGACCACTGAGAGACAAAAGCAGAAAGTGGTAGATAAGAGGCTGAGCAACATTTTTGGCAGTTTTCTGGGGCCAGAAAGGGAGAAACTGGAATCAGAGCCCCCAAAGACAGAAGGCCCGGTACACACCCAATGCTTTTAACTAGGACCCTTAAAGGGTCACAGTTGTAACGATAATGATGAAATGGGGAAGATCGAACCAGCATTTAATCACCTCAATTCCCAACTGGATTAAAGTGATCTGCCCTTTACCAAACTGCCTGCCAAAAGCAAAAGTCAATTCTTTCTGTAGGAAGAAAACATCTTCCAGAGCTCATATCAGTTTGTATACAATGTCCAGAATATAATACAAATTACCAGACAGGAACAAGAGGAAAATCTAGTGATACAGTTATTGAGTTAGGAGAATCACACTTGAAAAGAACTGCATGAATATCCTCAAGAAAACAGATGGTAAGATAAAGAATTTTAAGAGAGAACAAGAATCTGATAATAATAACTTTTAATTTCTGCACTAAAAACAGAATAACTGCAATTAAGAACTCGTTACATGGGGTTAAGAGCAAGTTGGGCACAGAGGGGCAGGGGCTTGCCTAACGAACACGAAGCAGGACACCTCCAAGTACTAAGATTGAAGCTCAGAGTCAACGGGATGGAAAATGTATTTAAAAAGCTAAGACACATGTGAAACACAGTGAAAAGCTAAAAAATATGTGTAACTAGAGTCTCCCTGAAGGAGGGAAAGGAGAATGGGACAGAACCATATGGGGAGAGATAAAGGCTGAGAATTTTATAAAACTGATAATAACTGAAGCCACAGATTCAAGAAGTTTTATGAATCCCAGAAAGAATAAATACAAAAAATTACACTTTTGAATGTGATTAATTAATCCGCTGGAAAGAAAATACAAAGTGAAAATCATCAACAACCAACAGATGATTTGTGAACAGAAATAATGGAAGCAATAAAATAATGGAACAACATTCTTTTTAGATTTTTTAAAAAATTATTTTTCAACTACAGTATAGAACAACATTCTTAAAGTACAAAAAGAAAGCAAATGCCAACCTAGAATTCCATGAACAGTAAGAAATATCCTTCAAAAAGGAAGCTAAATTAAAGAGATTTTCAGACCGAAACCTGGGAGAATTTGCCATCCTACGAACTGAGCTAGACAGAATACTAAAGAGAATTCAAGTCGAAGAAAAATGAGTGGCAGACTGAAGAAAACACAGAAAGAAGCTGCAACAAAAAAAGGTAATTCCAGGAATTCTGAATAAATGCTGAACAGCAGTAAGTGTCATTGTGGGTCTCGAATATCTGTAGGTTAAAACATATGACAAAAACAACACAAAACAATGAAGAAGAAAATGGAGGTAACCTGTTCTAAAGTATGTTATTGTCTAGGAAGTTGTAAAAGCACTAATGTGCATTGGACTCTAATGAAAGACAGAACACCCAGCACTAAGCGCGTGGTCAATTGCATAAATGTTAACTAAGCAAAAAACGTTAGAACATCAGACATTTTTATAGCCTTTTTTATCAGCAAGTACATTTACGATTAGAGAGCAGCAATTAATTACTGAAAATGCCTTCTAACAGACATGTCTATTAAAGTGAGAATGAACAACTTAACCGTTCAGATTTTCGTATTACAATACACAATAGTAAGTATCTCTGTTCTGATTCAATATGTGTTCTGATGTCTACTTTTCCCTCTGTCTGCTGCCTTCACCATTATCTGACTTGACCTTCAATCTCCCAAAGGACAGGCAGTGCCTGCCCTCAGTGTCACAGAACCAAGACAGGCACTTAACGAAAACCCCACGGTGATGCTGTAAAACAAACAAAGGGAGCTCTGGCTTCATGCCCCATTTCTCTGGAAGA